ATAAACAGATTTTTAAAACCAACCATATAATCAATTCAAAAGGAAAAAAGCATTTGATAAAATCCAGAATCCCTTCATGATACAAACCTTCAACAAAATACACATGGAAGGAACAAACCTCAATATAATTAAAATCACATATGACAAACCCACAGCCAATATCAACTGAAGGGGGAAAAGTTGAAAGGATCCCCCCTCAGACCTGGAACAAGACAAGGATGCCTACTTTCACCTCTTGTATTCAACATAGTACTGAAAGTCCTGCTCAGGGCAGTCAGGCAAGAGAAAGAAATAAGGGGCATCCAAGTCAAAAAAGAAAAATAATCAAACCATTTTTGTGTGCTGATAATATGATCTTATGCCTAAAGACTCCTGCACTTGATAGGTGAAGTCACCAAAGTCTCAGATTGTAAAATTCACACACACACATGTCGGAAGCACTGACATGCACCGATAATTACAATTCAATCATAAAAAGATTAAACGTCTTTTACAGCAATTTGGATGGAAATGGAGACCATCATCCTAAGTGAAGTAACACAGGAACAGAAAAACCAAATACCATATGGTCTTACCTATAATAAGAGTTAATCAAACTGTCTGCAGAGGCTTATGGAATGGTATTGTGGACACTGGATGCTCAGAAGGGATAGAGTAGGAAGTGCAGAAGGGATGAAAAATCACATACTGGGTACGATGTACACTAGTGAAGGTGACAGGTACATTTAAAATCCAGACTTCTTCACCACTACATAATACATCTATATAACCAAAAACCAGTTGTATCCCTACCACTACGGAAAAATTTTTTTAAAACCCAAAAAAGAAATAGTTTAATGAAGCTTTCATGTATCCAAACTATGTTTATAGAATAGAGGCTTCACAGTAATTGTAAGAACCCTGGTCTTTAGAAGACAAAAAATTAGATTTCATAAATAAAGTTAATAGTCAAAATAGCTTTATAAAATGTGTTTGTATTCTTAAGAATGTAAGATTTATTTGGCTTATATCTCACTGCTAGGTTTTGTAACTTAGAAATTAAGACTTGATTCTGCTCAAATTATGAAGAAAAAAATAGCCACTGTTTGCAACAGAAAAACATTGTAAATATTAGACCTTTTAAGGTAAGAAACTTTAGTAATATAAATGTTAGACATGGCAAAGATGTAGGATAAAGAAGAAAAATGTGACAATAATCTTTCACTCAAAAATGCTATTTACGGTATTTACTTAAAGCTAAAATGTATTTCACTGCACATATATAGGATTAAGAATTGTTATTTTATACCTTTTCTCCAATAAGCCAACATATAATTATGAAGCCAGAAATGTTTCTAAAATAAATATGACTAAAATCATATAAAACTATATAAATATTTCAGAGAGAATGTGACTCAGATATCTTGCTACAGAATAGGGTATATCCTCTGTAATAACTTTTTATTACCTTTTTGTGTATTGTCATTTTGTGCACTAATATTTCCATCTTCAAAATCATTTGGATAACCGTTCTAGTACATTTTATTTTGTAGATTGGAAAAAAATATAGGTATGTTGAATACCTAATATCCATGATTTAGAAAATGTTGCTAAGCTTATTTTCTATTAAATCACTCTTTGTTTATGCCCTGAAAAGTCAAAAAGAAAGAGGAAAAGAGAGAGAGAGGTGAATTTAGAAGCTACAGGAAATGATTCACATCTGCACAACACAACACCTTCTGTCCTTTAACCACCTGTGTTAATCTATAATCATAAGTGTTATTCTATAGTACCTTTACACTCAGTGGCTTCAACATACCAGTGTTTGTTCCAAACAGGAAAGCATCATTCTTCTTCATAGCTTTCTGAGATTTTTTTTCCTAATTTCCTGGCAAGATCTCAAAAGCCTATCAAGGGTTAACTTGTCAGCTGGATTGGCAGGGTGATCTTCAGAGTTTGGAGAACCCAGAACAGCTCTCCAAAACATATGCTCAGGTTAATGGGTAATTTCAAATCCCAGTATTCTTTGTCATCTGTAATATCTACTGAACCAGAATTCATAATGAAAAAAAAAAATCAGCCAAATCCTGATTCTTCAGTGAATATCAAATGCACTATTCTTAGTATTGTAGAAACTTCCGATTCTCAGAATTTTAGTGAAAGATGCTTCTCTACAATTTGGGAGTTTTGTTGTTGTTGGCTTTTTTCAGACAAGGTTTATTTAAGTCCGAGTCTCTTACATGTTATACCTCCATTTCACACCATGGAAGGTATCTTAATTTTTCACCCTCTCCCATTACCCCCAAGCACAATGTATTATACATAGTAGACATTAAATAAATATATGCAGAATAAAACTGTCCTGACATTGTAAGGAAATCCTGCAAATTTTTGGTAGGGGTTGTCAGATACCATGTTTCCTTTTGCCCCAAAAAGCTACAAGGTTTCTGAAGCGTGTGTACAACATCCTGTTGTGCCCAGACACTGAAGTGTGTGTAACTACATCCTGTTGTGCCCAGATAAGTGCTTGCAACAGCAGTCGACTCTACTCAAGTCTAAAAGGATGAAAGATGGAGAACATTAATGTTATATAATTGCTTCCAGATAGGAGATTTATTGCTGTTATGGTCCTCGCTAAGTTCATCCTTCCTGAATGTAGAAGAGGGTAGATTTCAAAATGGTTATCACAGAAAACGTCTCAGTATTCAGACTCTTAAAAAAAAAAAAAAGGTTACTCTATCGAAACCACAGAGAATCCACAGAAGAAGCTGTAGTTTTAGCCACTCTGGGTGTACTGCATGAATATTAAGGGCAGTTTCCCCAAAGCCTCACTTGTACTGTAGTTACCAACACACCTTCCAACCCTATCACTCCACTTACGTCAGTCCTCTGTCAATCGCATTAACGTCCTCACCGTTGTGACTGAGATCCCCTCCTCCAACACAGCATACAATACTTGTGTGTCTGCCCAGAACGCAGGTTCCTAAACGGCGAGCTGCCTTGCAAGCCCTTCAGCCTTCTGTGCTCATGAGCATTCATCAGACTCCTGGAGTCCGTATCACCTTCAGCAGGATTGCACATGTCCGCAGGAATTGATGCACATTTGGAGAATCGATTCACGACGAGCGTCTT